AGAGAGAGAGAGGGAGGGAGGGAAGGAGGGAGGGAGGGAGGGAGAGAGAGAGAGAGAGGTAGAGAGAGAGAGAATCTCACCATCTCACATGGCTCCCTATATACCCTCCAAAGTCCCAGAATGCCTGCATAGCTCTGCCCTTGGGTCCTCGCAGTTCTTCCCGTGGTATTGCTGGGAGTTGTAGTTTACTGGAGTAGGGGCCGGCATCCACAATACTGGAGTAGAGGGTGGAATCCACAAAACTCTACAAGAGTTCCTTCAGGACATCCTTTCTCCCTAACACTACCATTCTCTAGATGCATTCTGCCCTTTCCGCAAGCATGTCCTTTACTCATACTTTTCCTTCCATTTGGAATGTTCTTTTCTCATGCCTTCCCCCATCAAGAGTAACTCTAGCAAACGGAACTTTCCTTTATATCCTCTTCTTTATCTCAATGACAGTCTCTTTTTCTTGTATGCCCCTGTGTACATTGTCCTTCATTATAAAAATTGGCACCTTGTGCAAGAGAGATTCAATATTTGACACATCTCTTCTTCACAGTGTTGAAAGCTCAACACTGTCTGACACACTCAGTCTCATGCAAAGGATTTTATGGATCTGAAAATTATAACTTAATTTAAAGATGTCTCAGATTATAACACAGGGAGAGGGTAATCCCACTTATAACAGGTGACATTAATCTGTGATGATTTACTAAGTAATGAAACATAATACTGAGTGATTATAAAATAAAATGCCATTCTTGCCAAATCTAAACTCAATAATAAAATTATTTTGAAAGGAAACTTGGGTTTATGTTCTTAATTACTGACTTAGGAATGGCAGGGTTTTTTGTTGTTGTTGTTGTTTTTAATAAAAACACAATGAAACAGAGAATTTAGCAACTAGGGCCAAATAAAATTTCTAGTCATTTTCCCTGTGAGTCATTCATAGGCCTTACTGCAAAGATTCTGTCACAATTTCAAGGTTGCAGGGTAACATTTTAAGAGCCTGAGTCACTATTAAACATAATGATATGCAACTAAAAAGTTACTTTTAAGAGAACTACTTCATTAGCACCTTGGGAACTGAAAAGAGCACTACTTCAAAATTACTTTTAAGAGCACTACTTCAGTTAGCACGTTGGGGACTGAAGAAATACATAAAACAACAAAAAGCTCAATGCTACCATTAGGACCTACTAAGAAGGCTTCTTCAAATTTCAAAGAATTCCTATTAAAGACAGAATATAGAAAAACTAAAAGAGGATATAAACTTACAAACTAAACACAGAAGTGAATAATTCCTAGAAAATGAAGGCTTAAATTAAGATTTACTTCCATTATTTGGCTTTATCAGCTCAAAATACTTTACCAATAGTTTCTTCCTTGAAGGCAAGACCTCTCTCTATCTTATACATTTACCTGAAACAGTCCACTGAATTCTACATTTAGACTATAGTAAATAGTCACAGCTAAATGATTACTTTTTATTCAATAATGAGGTAACTGGTTGAATTTTTCCACATCACATTCCAAGTACAGACACAAAGGAATCTTTTTGTAAATTTAAAATGTTGTTAAATTGCCCATGTCTTATGCTGAATTATGTCCCCTCCTCTGCCTCAAAGAAATCATGTTATAACTCTAACCCATTGTACCTCAGGATATGAACATATAGGGAGAAAAGAAAGGACCTTGCTCTTTTTTTTTTAAGATTTATTTATTTATGCACACAGAATTGGGGTACAAGCCAGAGGGGCGGAGGGTGAGATGATTCACCAGAGAGAGAGTGGGGAGCAGAACAGGCAGATCGATGAAGTACACCACTGAGGGGAGCAGTGGGCTAAAACAGGAGAGGTCTGCTGCACCATGTGGATCACCTCTGGGGCCAAGGATCCAGTGGCACTGAAGCAGCTGCTGTGCTTGCAGTGCTGTGCTTTAACCCACT